GGGGAGGAGAGGAGAGGGGAGGGGAGAGGAGAGGAGTGGAGAAGGAGGGAAGGATGAAATCAACAAGCAATGCAGAAGGCAAGAACTACAATGTTAGGGTGTCCAGCATGCCTCCTGGATGAAGGGCTCAACTACAACTTGAACTTCACCTTAGAATTGAAAACAATGTAACCTAAAAATTTGTACCTTCATATTAATTAGAAATTTAAAAAAAAAAAGAAAGCAAGAAAGCTCACTCATTCAGGGCAAATCCCTACTCTTGAGCACAGTTTAATCCAGGGGTCCTCAAACGTTTTAAACAGGGGGCCAGTTCACTGTCCCTCAGACCGTTGGAGGGCCAGACTGTGGGCCCCGGGACAAGTCGGCTGCTAAGCAGGACAGGCAGCGGCAGCAAAAACACCCGATGGGCCGGATAAATATCCTTTGAGGACGCTTGGTTTAATCCATACAAAGAACAAGGAGAAGCCCTGAATAAGGTAAAGTAAGTAATAATAATTTTACAAAATAAACTAAAGTTCATTACTTTACTCTGAATTGTTCATAGCCCAAAGTTTGTGGTGATGGTGATAAGAAAGATAGATATTTCTTAGAGCTTATCACACACAGGAAAGGAAGTGGTGCGTTCAGCTTTACATAGATTATTCTTAGATGAGAAGGAATGTATTTTCCAAACACGGGCATTTTCTTAGGCTGGTGTATTGGGTGCTGCCTCACTGGAATCTAGCTTTGTCCCAGGGAGAGCCTTGTCTCTGCTGAGAGCAGAGCAGCCACAAGACCACCTAGATGGCTGGCAGAGAGCAGCTGACAGGCCTCTGTTCAGGCGTAAACCCCGCCCTGTGCACTGCTGGAACGGCTGCCACCCCAGCCTCCTGCCTCCAGTCTCTCTCTCCTGTTCTGCTTCCTCATGCCACCAGAGTCATCATCCCCAAAGCCCAATCTAATCACCCCAAGTTTCTCTTAGAGACTTTCAAAGATTTTTTTATGGCCTGTGGCTGGAATCCCAATGCTACAGCATTCTGGGGTCTTCAGTGACTGGTCTATGTGCTGTCCCCTCCTCTGTGACCCAGCTGCATGGCACCGACCATCAACAGTGGCTCAAACGTGGACAGAAATCTCATGCTTTATAACCTGATCTCAGGTGTCTCTGCCTCTGGGAAGCCTTCCCCCCAGCCCATCCTGACACATGTAGGACTTGGGGCAATAGTACAGTGGAAGCCCCCACACCACACACAAATATTCAGCCTCTACCTCCGTAAGATGTCTACCATCTTCCCTGACAAACGGACCTTTATAACAATCTGCAATGCTTGACTTGAATTCAGAAATTTGGCCTTAGTAGAGGGGTAGAGGGAATAGAGAGGGATGCTCTCACCCCTCACCCCTCGCTCCACCCCTTCTTTTCTCTTCCTACCTCTGAATCTGCCCTGTACGTGATCACCCAGCCCATACGTGCATGCTCATCTCGGCCACCGTCAGGAATATGGGGCCAGATGTTGGAACAGCCTCTCCTCAGCCCTTGGAAGCAGGCTGAGCTGCCTAGGAGAGGAATTCCAAGGTCCCAGGAGCCTGAACTTAGTTAGCAGGCAAGGGGGTGAATGGGAACCAGGGGCACAGGTGGAGGAGGCTGGGACAGAATCCTCTAAAGCAAGTCGCCCAAGGCAAGGCCTCAGCCTTGACGTCTCTGGTTTTTCCTGAGCAGAATTGGTTCCTTCCTCTTCTGTGCTCCTACAGCAGACTGTTCACAGGTTTAAGATTTGGTCACTGAAGTCTTATGAACGCAGCTCCCACAGAAAAACAGTGCCACATCTTAACTGGTAGCAAATGGACACACACACACACAAACACACACACACACACACACACACACACACATTTTCTCTTTCTACTGGTCGCCAGGCCAAATTTTCTCTTTTAATTAGTTTAGTTCATATTAATTACCTATTAATCTCTAGAAATCTACAAAACACTTCTCTCATTTACTACTTATTCCCATCATACTGAGAAATACGTGCCAAAAACCACAGTTCTGCTCTAAAGACTGCCTCAGCACAGTCTCAGACCCCAGTACTCTGTCTCCTTACTGTTCTGTAAAGGGCTTCCTGTTTTAAGTAAGAAGGTCAGAAGTGACCTCTGAGTACTGTCAGCCTAGCGACGCTATGTTAGGTGCCACGGGATGAGGTACGTGAGTAGGAATGTTCCACACTGCTGAGCAGAAGTTCTAGAAAATGACTCTCTCCTCCAGGGACCAGATCACAAAAGCAGTGCCTCTGGGTCCGCACATCTGTCAGGGGAGGACTGTCCTTGCCTCTTTCTGTGTGCTTGGCGATAATAAGAGATGCGCTCATACGTGTTACTAAATTCTGTTCCTTTTGTTGGCCGCATTACAGCATGGGTACAGCAGCCAAGAATACAAACTTGATTCCCATAAAGGCCACTTAGAAAATTGACCACCCAGTCTTTTTCTATAAATGGATCCAGAGGATTCTCTGGAGGGACCAACCCTGAATCACTAGCCAGGAAATTCTTCCCTGCATCTGGGAAGGATAGTCTCCTGTAAAGTGGGATGCCCAGAGGGCAGCAATGGAAGAAGGGGACCACATCTGGGAGCTCACAGACATGCAGATATTAAAGTACAATCTTTGCAACCTCCCTGAGCATCCATTTAGGTGATCCAGCAGTGGTCCTCAACTTCACTCCTCATCCCAGGCTCTACTGGACCTTTGCTAAGCCTTTCTGTCCTTTTCTGAAACTGATTCTTCTCCTCGTCCTCTGGAATCCATCCTGTAACTCCCTCCAGCACTCTGTCTAGCCACTGTTTCTCTTTCACATCTTCAATTTCTTTATTCTTGTTTTTTAACCCTCCTTTCCCCGTTTCCTTTAAACTTCCTGAATGTGCAGGCCACGCTCACATGCAATAGACAACAACTGATCACCTCCCTATCACCCCCCAGGGACGCTGCCCTCTGTGGGTCCCTGGGGAGCCCCTGCTGCCAAACTCAAGGTCAATTCTCACTTCTTCTCCTTTGCTTCTCTAGATCTGGACCCTGTGGAGCCACTTTTCCCCGTGTGGAGAACCTAGCTCAGACTGTCCTGGTTCTTCACGGTTTTCACCCTCTGGCTCTTGCTCATTTGTTCATGTCTCAATTCAACAACCTTTTATTGAACTCTGATGATTCGCCCAGCACTGTGCTAGAGAGTACGTGTGACAGTCTAGGCATGAGGCCTGGGCATGGAAGGAGACAGCTATGCAAAAATAACAGCAATACATTGTTTCAGGGGCCAAAGCAAAGATGCAGCCTGGGAACACAGAGGTCCCCGGGCCTCTGCCTGAGCACTGACCTTGCTGCTTAACACGTGGTTCCTGGAGCAGCAGCACTAACACTTGTGTACTTTTGTGAAAAAGATAAAATTGGGGCCCCACCCCAGATCTACTGTACCCAAATCTCTGGGTTTAAGGCTCAGCCATTGGCCTGTCTGCTGGGTCTCATCTCCCGGAGGCTCCCATGAAGCCTGTTTTCCAGGACTCCCCACCTCGTGTCACCTGCACGAGACGATGCATTCCCTGGCCCTGATGCCACTCCCAGTGTGCGACTTCATGATACCTATTTCACTCAGGAGAGAATGTACACATAGAATGTATTTTTACCTCCAGTTGCTTCCTCTGGGCTGCCACATGCAGGAGCCGCAGGAGGTGGTATTGCTCTGGTTGTTCCAGCTGAGACATCAAGGCCAGGAGCTCCGTCAGGTGTCTGTTAATCGGCTGAGGCTGCTTTTCATACACAGCAGGTAACACCCTCAACAACATGACATTACCTGTTGAAGGACCAATAAAGAGAATGCTGAGTTTCTCAGCCCAGGAGCAACAGAATGACATTCTCATCAATGCAATAACCTTGGCGCTTCCACGTGTACTAGCACAGACTCATGCCCAAGTGCTGCGCTAAAAAAAATCACTAACTCATGGTATGAACTGATTTCACAAAAAGGAAATATTTTATGACATGTTCAGCACCATTATTTAATAAAAATTTTTCCTGAGTAATGCACCACGGGGATAGAGGAACTTTGACAGTAACCAGACCACACCCTTGGAAGGAAACAGTTGCGATAAAGAAGGGGGTGAGAAGCAACATTTTGGATGACGTTTCAATAAAAGCTACGCAATGCCAAGGACGTTCATTTCCCTAAATGAAACTGAACAACAGCAACAAAAAAAGGCAGAGGAGCATATTCACGGTCCTGAGAGATACGGAGGCCTGATTTCCACACCTGCTGTATGGAAACTGTGCCTTATTTTTATCAATACTTTAAAAAGTTAACAATGCAAATTTAAACCCTCCATTTCTGCACTCTTCCTAGAGAAGTTCAGGCTTAGCTTGTTTGCCACACGTGATGTGCCTCAAAGACACGTATAGACCACTGGGTTTAAAAATGGCCAAACCTCAAGAAAAAACCATCGCAGTAGCTATAGGATCTTATCTGTATACGACATATGGGCGACATCTGCTTATTACTTTATGGTATGGATTCCCCCCCGCCCCCCAAAATCCTCTCAAGTACTTAACTGTCTCAGGGCAATTGGTTTTTAGGAATTTTTTGAACAAGAATTTTCCTGACTCTACATACTTATACTTTAAATCTGGCTTTGTACATAGAAGGCGTACCCATAAGGAGCCAAATAAAGAGGACTTTTATTAATGGCAACATCTCCACGTATAAAGGACATTTAGACTTGACTCTTAAGGAATGAAGGCTGGGATTTTCAGAATGTCAACATCTACACTTAATGAAAGGGTGATAAAATTAAACATATTTAAGGGATAATAAATAATTAGAATTGTCCTCTCCACATGTGGCTCATACAATTCATCTCAAACAGGTTTTAGTCACATGTCCACATAGTATAAGGTGTGGGGAAGTCTTTCAGCTTTTCCTTTCAAAAAGCTGTGTCCATCAGTATTTATTTTCAACATGTTCATTTTAAACAATTTGTTTTGCTTGTTTTCTGTTTCTTCTCACTAAGAGCTTTTCCTCAAAGGTCCAGGAATGTGTAATGTGATACCCAGTCTGCACAGAACATGTTAGATCATAGAACTTAATCATGTGAACGTGCTGATCAACTGCTAGAGAAAGGTTACGTCAAATGGGACAGTAGCTGGACACTAAGACAGGAATCTGGTGTGAGGCTTTTCAGTATGATGACATCGGGAGCCTTGAAAGGGAAAACCCCAGATGAGTCATTTTCGGCTGATTCCAATTTCAATCAAATGATAGAAAAAATAAATGCAGAAGGATTTAGAAACCGATGAACACACCGGGTGTAGAAATCTGATAAATCCCATTCATTAAAAAAAACAGTCTTTTAAATTGTGAAATATTTCAGGTATCAGACACACGAAGGTAATAATAGAAGGAACGCTGATGTGCTCACCAACCAGCTTTGTCAAAACTTAACCTTGGGCCATAATTATTTCCCATGCCACCCATTTCCTTTTCTCCCCAAAGGCACTCATCATCCTAAAGTAGTATTTATTGTCTGTATAAGCATTTTTACACTTTAATTACAGGTGTATGTATCAATAAACATTTTATAGTGTTGCTTTGCCTGCTTTAAGATTTTATGTAAATAGTATCATACTGTATATATCCTTTGCAACATATTTTTTTCTCATTCAATGTTACGAAGTTTCATCTCTAAGAAGCTATCCTCCACTTATTCTCAGAGCTGTATGCTATCCCATTACATAAACATGCAACAACTTAATTCGTATACTCTATGGTTGAAAGACATAATGTTACTGATATTATTATTTGATTTTACCAATAGTGATACAATTTTTATGCATAAGTGGTGGATATTCCCTACAGCAGTGCTTCTGAGTTAAATGTGCTTAGAAATCACCTGAACTTCTTGTTAAAACAGGGGATTCACCTGGGTGAAGCCAGGCCTTGGAAATATGAATTTCTACTGAACTCTCAAGTAACGCTGATGGTCCCTGGATGATGTAAGTGGTAAAGAAGTTGATATGTCCCTGGGAGATGAATTTCTAGACGTCCCACAATTTCTTTGGGAAGCAGCTGTTTTCTTATAGCTGCATAAGAAATTTTTGCAATTGTTATTAGTGGCTTAAAGTTACACATACTTATCATCTTACATTTCTGTAGTTCAGAGGACTGATATGAGTCTCACTAAGCTAAAATCAAATTGTTGGCGGGTCTGGGTTCTTTCCTAGTGGGTTTAGGACAGAATCTGTCTCCTTTTCCAGCTTCTAGAGGCCGCTTGCATTTCTTGGTTTGTGGCCCGTTCCTCCCTCTTCACAGCCAGCAACATGGCATCTCTCTACAGCCTCTTCTCTGTTATTACATCTCTCCCTCTGATTCTGTCTACTGCCTCCCTTTTAAGGACCTTGTGATGACAATGGGCCCACCTGAGTAACGTAGGATCATCTCTTTTATACAGCAACCTGACTCCTATCTGAAATGCATCTTACATAACATGCTCACAGGTTCTGGGGATTAAGACATGAGTATCTTTGGGGGACCGTTATTCTGCCTACCCCCAAGATCATAACAATTTACACTCTCACCATTGTCAGGAGAGTTTCTATTACTCCACATTGTTGCTAACGTTTGGTCTTGATAGACATTATTTTTTTTCTACTCTAATGGGGTATAAGACAGTATTTTATTTTTTGTTTGTTTTAATTTTTATTTCCTAATGTCTTGTAAGGCTCGGCATTCTCCTCACATAGTAAATTTACAGGTCATTTGCTCTCTTGTGACTGGGCCATTCACATCCTTTGCCCACTTTCTCCTGGGATGCTTACATTCTTATTAATTTGTAGAAATCTCTTACATTTTCTGAACATTTTTTTTGTTCGTTCATGAATTTTAACTTACAATCTTCAAAGGGCTTATTTTGTTTTCTAATTTATAACTTATGTTTTTTGTTATTGAAAAATCTTTCCCTACTGTAAAGTTCATAAAAACATTCTCCTATATTTTCTCCTAATATTGATATGGCTTTGTTTCTTAGCATTCACCTTTAACCCATCCGAAATTTACTTTTGAAAATATAAGGGAGGAATCTAGTTGCAGTAGAAACTCCATGGCTGACCACGTCCCTACACTGACCACCTCCTTAAGTTGACCTAATATTCATAGCCTGGACGTGCACCACATGTACATATCAGTATAGTAGGCCCAGGGTCTTATTCCATCACCTCTGTCTATTGACCAATTTGTTGTAGTTCTTTGGGTAGTCAACTTACAGAGGTTGTATTGTATATTTTTTCTTTGTTTATAAATAATTATTCCAGGGCCATTTGTTGAGGATTCGATTGTTACTCTTCTGATTTGCAACACCTCTTTCATATGTTAAGTGTTTCATATTTCTAATTTCTATTTCTGGGCATTTACCCATTAACCAATTCTATAATTTCCTAATTACAACAACTTTGCAATAAATCATCACTGCAGGAAATCAAGTAAATTTCCTCATCTTCTGCTTCTTTGCATTTCTTTTGGCTGCTCTCTATAAAGTTTAGTATCAGTTTGTCAACTATCTTAATAAACAAGGCCTTTTTTTTTCCATATATAGACTAATTTGGGATAAATGACATCTTTGTAAAACTGAGTCTTCACATTCATTCAAGAATATGATTTAACTTTCATCTATGTATACCTTTTTTATGTTTTTCAATAAAGTATTGTCATTAACTATGCTTTATGTATTTTACATTAAATTAATGCTATTGCTATTGTAAATGAAAAATTTCAAATTTTTTTCAACTTGTCTGTCATATTAAGAAAGCAATAGATTCTCTTGTTTGCTGATGTCTAAATTCCAACGATTCTTTTTTTAATTAATAATGTCTTTTGAGTTTTTTGGGTTTTTCTGTAGGTGATTGACTTGTGATAATTGATAATAGCTTTCTTCTTTCTTTCCATCCTATTCTGTATATTATCATCGTGTCCTTGTGTCCCACTTTACTGGCTGGGACTTCCAATACCTAATTTGACAAATAAAGCCAGTATTTATAGGTATTCTTGTGTTATTTCTGTTTCTGAAGAGTATGCTTTCAGGGAGTTACAATAACATATGCACCTGTTTCTATAGATCAGATATTTACATTGATCAGTTTAAGTAAGTTCCTATCTGCTTTCTGGTTTGATTACTAATGAGTATTGAATTTTATCAAGTCCTCTCATCTGTTGACATGATAATATGATTCTTTTCTTTAAACTGTTAATATACTTCTAACATTTAGTCCCTCTTGCAGTATTGAAAGAAACTCAACTTGGTTGTGATGCATTTTACACATTCTTAATGAGTTTGGCTAATATTTTATTAAGAGTTTTTGCATCTGTGTTCTTAAATAAGACTGGCTGCTGCAATTTTCCTTCTACTACTTTCCTGGTCTCTTTTTGGTGCTATACTTATTAGACTTATAAAAAGAATTTACTGCGTTCTTGTATACTGTATTCTCAGAAGAAGTTGGCATAAGATGGGGATTACGTGTTCCTCCAGTGTTTGGTAGAACTTGCCTATTAAACCTTCAGGAAACTGGTCTATATATTTCAAAATATCAAACTTTAGGAAGTTCAAGTTTTTGTATCCTTAGGTTTTTTTTTTTTTTGGTGGTATTAAAATGATTGGTTATGACAGGGTAGACTTATCACTTATATTAAAATCTCCCTCTGTGATTATGGATTTATCAACCTCTCCTTATAATTCTGCCATTCTTTGGTATGTATTTTTTAAAACTATGTTACTAGATAGTTCTGAAATATCTTCCATTAAAAAGCATTTC